TTTAATGCTGAAGAAGGAACAAAATCTACCCATTTTCTCCTCATTTTATCTTTCCCTCTCTCTCTCTCTTTTGCTCGTTGTTAAAGCATGCAATGCGATCAACATTGCATATTACCAACTATTATCTTTTGATCGCATCTCTTTGTATCTTTTTAAAGAGATCCGGTAACTTTGTCTCCGATTCTGAAATAAAATTCTGGATTTAACTCATGCTGCAATGATAATTATAAACCTTGAGGTCAGTCAGGAACCCCATGACTTTTACAAGCCGATCGCCTGTGTGATTATCAAGATATTTATGATTGGAATTACAAATTTGAAAACCGTTTGCCCAACGGTTCATAATAACACTACAGTCTATTGGGGAAAACGAGTATGGTAAAACCGGTCACTCAAAGATTTTTTACTTTTTTGAGGCACTTCTTGATCATTTTGAAGCTTCAATATTACACCATATCACAAACACTGGTAACACGTAGGACCGTGTATCTCAGATTTAACATTGTTAAACGATCCCTTTAATTTTCTTTTTTTTAGGGTAAAGATTTATCACAAAGTTCTCTGCCCGTCCTTTTTGACGTAGTCCATGAGAACCGACCATTCACGGCAGGCGCGTACGCAGGATTTTTTCAAGGGGGGGGGGGGTTTAACATTTATAAATCGGGCCGAAAATTTCGCAACGACTCAGCCAGCCGCTGAATAAGCGGGGGGGGGGGGGGGGGGGGGGGGGGGGGGGGGGGGGGGGGGGGGTAAAGAGGACACACATTTTTTTTTTTTTTTTTTTTTTTGGTCTCGAAATTTGAAAATTTGACATTTTGCTCCGTTGGGGGGGGGGGGTAAGGTCAGCTTTTTTAGGTCAACCATGGGAATATTTTTTTTTTTTTTTTTTTTTTTTTTTTTAATAAAAAAAAAAAAAAAAAAAAAAAATCCAAAGGGGGGGGGGGGGGGGGGGGGGGGGGTTTAGAGAAATTTAGGGGGGGTTACACACAAAAAATTTACCAAAGGGGGGGGGGGTTAACCTCCCCCCCCCCCCCCCCCCCCCCCCCCCCCCCCCCCCCCCCCCCCCCCCCCCCCCCCCCTCCACCCCCCCCACCCCCCCCCCCCCCCCCCCCCCCCCCCCCCCCCCCCCCCCCCCCCCCCCCCCCCCCTGTGTACGCGCCTGATTCACGGCATCAGCATTTACCCGATACCCTTCACCTTTGACACTAAATATTCTTTCGAATCTCATGGCTGGATTGAAATGACCTTTCAAGATTCAAGATTCAGGTTATATGAGTCTTGTTCAGAAGAACAAAAGCTACCCTAGGGTAAAGGTCTAGTCGAGGTAAATATGGCGGGCCAAGCATGCCACTATCCGTACAACTATATAACTATACGTCTTTCCAGCCGAGCAATCAGAATGCAGGAAGCTGTACATCTATACCAGCGGCGGATTCAGGGGGCACAGGGGGCATATGCCCCCCCCCCCCGGTAAAAAAAAAGGAGGTGGAAAGAGAAAGGAGGAACAAAAAGAAAGAAAACGGAAGAGAGAAAGAAGAAGAAAAGAGTAATGAAAGAAAAAGGGAAGAAGAGAAAAAGGAGAGGAAAAGAAGAAAGGGAGAAGAGAGAGGAGAGAAAAGGCGGAAGGGAAGAAAGGGGTAAGACGGAGACGAGAAAAGGGGGAAAAGGAGAATAATGAGAAGGGAAAAGAAAGAAAGGGGGTGATATTATAAGAAGGTGTTATTTTTACCGGGAAAGGGGCGGGGGAGGGCACGCAATTTTGCAGTGTGCATAATATGGGGTTCCTCTTGCCAGGGGTGTAGCCTCCTCCCCCCAAAAAGCACAAGAAGAACCACAAAAAGGGGGGAAAGAGAGGAGAAAGGGATAACAAATAAAGAGATTTAAACAACGAAAGAAGAGAGGTGCGAGAGCATGAGGAATTGCATTTCTTTTAAAAGAAAACGTACCATTAACCTTTAGGAAGATGCTTTTCCTCTAATCTTTGACAGCTTTTCAATGAGTCTTTCTTATGATACAAAATGTGAGTGCCTGTATGAACATTTATTCTTGTAAACCACATTAAGATTACATGTAATTGCCATATTTAATGAGCTTTCAATACCCCCCTTACAATATCTGACATCAGTTTTAAATTATAAGCTAATTCATACGGCAGAGTTATGAAATATCGTCCCTCTTTATTTGTAAAATACGCTCACTGAAATATAAGTCTCGTATATCTTTGTAATAATAGCATTACACCTTTGATTCTTCAATGTTTTTGTTTGTTCTTTACGCGTCTTTCGTTCATTGGCTCCGATCTCCTGACATCCAACATTTACGGAATTCCTTTCAAATAATATGTACAATCATTTAAAGATATATCGTATGAGTGAGAACATGAATCAACTAGACAATCATAGTAGTGCACGGCAGTATACAGCCTCTTTTCATTTCATTATTTAAAACAAATCGGTTTGAGTGCGAGGGTTCAATTATCACTTACAAAGAAGAGAGCACCACAGAGATAAGAAGTAGGATGGCAATGGCGAGATCGACAGTACACAATGTCTCACATCTCCGACGACCGACGAACATTTGGGCCAGTAGTGCCCATAATATTAGCCTATCCATTGTACAGTACAAACGCGCACTTAATGCGTTCAAACATGATAAAATGGCCAGTAGAGGGCGGCAATCCGTTTTATATTGTAAACGGGTAGCGTATCTCGAGAATGATGTTAGTTGATACGTTCTCTAGCTGTCTTGGCCTACAAAGTAAAAACTGGCTCAGACGGACCCCGGTTCGAAACTGAGTCACGTCTTTCGGATGGTCGGCCCCAAACGTAAAAAGATAATCACATCTGATTGATACATTTGTCAAAATCCGATTATACACAGAAACACATCTCACAGTACTCACACACAGTATTCGAATTGAGACAAATTGACAACTCGATCTGTAGTGGAACTATGATGTCTGATAATTTGCATTCGCTTAAAAAATAAATAAAACAAAACAAAAACACACACTAAACAAAATCTTATTTCATTTCAAATCATTTCGTTAAATATTGATTTGTGACAAAACTTCAGTATTTGGTTCAGAATAAATGCCTTGACAAGTTGACACCAGATGCTTCATAAACTGATAAACAGTGGATAGATTCAACTTTGTCTCTCTGCATGCTTTAGCTGGGGAATCAGAAGGTCAATTGCACCATTGAAGCAGAAATATAGCTCCTGATAGGAAAGGGTTGAAGAAATACTAAAAATGATACTTAAGACAACAACAACAAAAACAATAATCATAAATAATAACAATAATAAGGATACCGATAATGATGATAATAATAATATTAATAATACTAAAAATAAATATAATATATAAAATAACAATAATAATCATAATAATTATATTAATAATAAAAAGAATTATAACAATAATAATTATAAAAATAGAAAATAAAAATTATAACATTGGTAAATGGTCTCAACTCTGAAATGAAGGGTCCTGACCCAGGTGTATTCAATGGGTAAGAATTGAAGGGCCCATAGGATGAGAACTAATAATACTAATGTAGCTACAAAAGGAGTTGGAAGGTTAAACTTTATTGGTAAGAGTTATACAGACTGTTTCGCCAGAAGGCTCATCAGCAACTAAATACATTATACATGGCAAAGTTAAAAACACTTATGTGCAGTCAGGCACTCAGGCAAGAATACAAAAGAGACACAAATAATTACCCTTCATGAGTGTTACATGAGTGTTTTTAACTTTGCCATGTATAATGTATTTAGTTGCTGATGAGCCTTCTGGTGGAACAGTCTGTATAACTCTTACCAATAAAGTTTAACCTTTCCAACTCCTATATACATTTGCTCCTACAGTTGAGCACTGTCAGAAATTGCAGTTTTACTAAACTTGCTTATATACAATGGGGATATATACGGATATACTGCCCAAGTGCCCATTTATTTATACGTTGCTAATCTGCCTATTTAACCGTATAATGATAACACCAGTAGTGATTTCTATTATGTTTACGGTTATGATTTGTGTAATGTTATTATGTTTCTATACCGTTTTGTACTCATGTTCAACGGTGTGTTGTATTTATTCCTGATTTTGTATGAATTGATAGTACATGTATGACAAATTGATGTTATATACATTCAATGTATATAACATCAATTTAACATGCATATCAATTTATACAGATTTGAAGAAACATCCATAAATTGAATTTTATGCCATGCTATTTGTGCATGATCAATAAATTTGAACATGAACTTGAACTATATATATAATATATAATACATTAATAATAATACTAATACTGTACTACTACATGTACACCTACTACAGGTAATAGAATAACAATAACAATAACTATAATAATAAAAATAAATTGTATCCAATAATAGGCTATCCACCATGCAGTGCCCAAGGTGATCCAATATTACCTTGTTCTAGCTGGGCTATCCATTTCAGTGCTCACATTAACACCAGGGTAAAGATGCAGAATAATGTATTACCAGACTTTACACTATTTTAAACTTTAAAAAAGAAGGAATTAGCTGCCCTATGAATTTTGCTAAAAGTTTTATTGACCTATCTCTACAATTTTTCAACTTTTATTGTAACTTCACAATCACTTTAATCAGGGGAAAATTCAGCAGTAAAGGCATGGGCACTTTTATACAACCCCTGTATCACAAACATCAGATTCCGTCATTAATAACTAAGGAAATGAAAGTTAATCAAATTTTCTGTATAGAGCAAATTAGAGAAGAGCTCGCAATTTGTTTTTCACTGATCATGACAATTTCGAAAAATTCATAACTTTCCTATTTCTAATGGGATGGGATATTGCTACACTTTCAATAATTTGTTATTTTCTGTTTTTATTAAAACCAGCTTGAATTATATCATGCAGGCTAGTTGGGTGGACTTCCCCATAAAAATATTCTTGTGAATTTGTACCTGTGTACTGGTCAGTAAATTAAGGTGAACCTACCTCTCCTTGCCTTGTGGGATGACCGGGACGGTTGATGAGAGCAATACCGTCATGGCATACAGCAACATCTTCTACAAAACAACAATCTGGAAGACGATCATCGCTGTCAAATTCATGCACATCAATGCCCAAATCTCGAAGGTTGTCGATGTACTTTTTCTGCTGCTCTCGAGCGAGCGCCAGGTCGGGCTTTCCCCCGGACTCGTCCGATCGTAACGCTTGCTCGACAAGGGTGCTTGCTACGCGACGGACAATCGCAAACTTGGCTTGAAATTTCTTCTCAACATCCTTGTCAATTACAGGGAGTTCCTCCATAGTGGCCGCTTGTTGTGAAGAAGTGAGAAAAGATATATAATGTGTGCTGATTATAAATACAACGTAAAACACGGTCGAGTGAGGGAGAGACAAGTTCTTTATTACCGCCCTATTTGTCCGTGCAGGTCTACAATATATATGGTTATCGGTACCGTACATAATGTACATGACTATATATCGCAGGCGTGTATTATCATGTGATGTATATCACGCGCGTAGTACATTGACCGGCCACCTGCACCGGTGCTGATGTGACAACAGTAGGCCTACCTATATCACTCAAACATAATATTGTTTGAGTTCTGTGACCATATATATATATATGTGTGTGTGTTTATATGTTATATATATGTTTACAGATATAAATATAGGAGTTGGAAGGTTAAAATTTATTGGTAAGAGTTATACAGACTGTTTCGCTTGAAGGCTCATCAGTGACTAAATACATTATACATGGCAAAGTTAAAAACACTCATGCAGTCAGGCAAGAATACAAAAGAGACACAAAAATACCCAAGTAAGGGTGAACGCAATAATGCAATAGTGGAATTAAGTGGTTTAAGGGTAAGGGGAAAGGTCATGGATATATATATATATATATTATGTATTCATATATGTACATTTATATACACTACATCATGCGGGCTTGTCCAACATTAAGGAATTTTTAAAGTATAAAAATACGTAGTTCTGACAGTACATCACATTACTCAATTGAACTCTTGACATTTTGAATATTCATGTTGGGATTGTTACATTATTATTTTATTCTATTCATTTTATTATTGTTCCACATTTTTACTGAGTGCTGTTAAGCGTATAGGGCCATTATGATAATGGCATAATTATGATATAGTATGTAATTTTCTTTTTCTTGCTTCATTGTCTCCTCCTCCCCCTCTTTCCATGCTGGCCCTTACCTTACCAACATTTCTTCATTTATTAGCAAACTCGTTTTGTTCTGTCTTGCTCTATGGTACTTATTCTTTCTCTCTCTCTCTCTCTCTCTCTCTCTCTTCTTTTTCTTCCCCATCACCGTTTCTCCTACATATAACTTTCTTCCTTCTCAACTTTTCTCTGTTGTTGTTGTTTTGCTCTGGTTTGCGCTTTCGCTCTCCATATCTTCCCACTTTCTCTTTTTCATATAATACATCAATCTATCTCTTTTGTAAATATTTTCCATGCGTAATTGCTTCTATTTTATCTTCTTCAAAGAAATTAAAGCATTCAGGTATTATATTCTGTTCGGGGGACCTTGCTCTAACAAGCCCAGCTTCTATAAGGTCTCCTCTTTCTTTCATGTACAGAACATGATCTTACATAAGTAACTTGTTTATAGAATTTCTTTAGTTAATAACAAGATTTGTAATAATGTTGAACGTTACTATTGTGCTTCAAATGATGTTTGTTATATTGATAATCTGCTGTTCCAGTAACTTTATTTGAAATTCTATGTACAAAATATGTTTGTGAAAGAAGAAATAATATGAACTGAACTGAACTGATATTGTATTGCGTTTTGCTATTCATTGTTTTCTAACTTCTCTGTATACAAGGGAGGCTACTTCCTGATAGGAAACCGTTTCGTTCCGGGAACAAGCCATAAAACTTCAGCCTTTTGTTTGTGTACCGGACTTCGTCAATATTTTGTCCGGTCGGATTCCTTTGTTTCTGTTAAAAACGTTGACCTTTCTAGTATAGTTAGGACAATATAAAACTAAAAATTGTTTTACCGTCTCTATATTGCATCTATTACAAAAACCAGTGGGATGAATTCCTAATCTGCCGCATGTAATCGCCTCTCTATGAACATAAATATTGTTTGTTAACATCTCAGTTTTGAATGTTCTCAAATGAGAGTTTGTGATTATTCCACCTCTTGCCAAAGGAGTTTGGGACTTATCAGTAAGCTTTTCATCTCTAACAAAGTTAGATTACTATTGATTTATATATTTTCTTCAGTAATGCGCGGGCCTTTGCGTGGAAATCCGCCACCTATAAGTCTCTTGGATTCCACAATGCCCAGGAATCCACTCTACGAATATCAACTCCTCTAGGCCTACTCTTTAAATGAGTAGATATGGTGAGAATCTCCAGAATAAAAGTTTTTTCATTCAGGAGCACTCAGTGAATCACTAAATATACCCCCCCCCCCCCACAAACTGTCAAAGATATTAATTTCCCGGCTCTACCGTTATATCAGAGATATATCACACGTTGTTGGCGGGATTAATCGCAACATGATCTCCCCATTCTTTGTTTTCTTCTTCCTCTTTTTTTCCTTCCCTTTATCGCTTCTTTTCCTTTTACTTTCCCTTTCCTAATTCCTTCTCTTTTTTTTTTTGCTGGGGGGGGGGGAGGGGGGCAATTACTCCTTTTGGCCCCTCCCCCATCTCCTTCTTCCCCCTTTTCTTTTCTTCTTCCTCTCCCTTTCTCTCCTCTTTCCCTTTCCCTTCTTTTCCCTCTCTCCCCCTCTCTCTCTCTCCCTCTCGCTATCTCTCTTTTTAATGACGTATTACCAAGTTGTCTGTCTATTCTTTTTCGATGTTGTTGTTGTGTTTGAGTTATTGGCGATTTCAGTAATTTGACTATTGTCGCCAAAATACTTTACGGCTCGTGTTATATCTCTCTATTTTGTATTTTTTAAAAATTTATTTATTTCGTTTTATATTTATCTAGGCCTATCTGAATTTACGGTATTTACGATGTTGTTGTTGTGTTTTGAGTTATTGGCGATTAGTCAGTGATTTGACTATTGTCGCCAAAATACTTTACGGCACGTGTTATATCTCTCAATTTTGGATTAAAAAAAAAAAATATTTATTTCGTTTTTATATTTATCTATCTTTTAAGATAGTATCGTAAAATAATATCGTAAGCAAAACATTCATGGGCTTTGTTAGTGTTTCTTAACAGTACGTGCAGATTATTTGTTGTATCACATACACACCATACATAAATATGTATATAAGATAGCACCTATACAAGCCTCTATATTCAGTAATCTTATCATACCTTTTATCATTGTTGTTACTTTTTCTTATTTTCTTTTCTTAATACATTATGTTATTATATTTTTAATGTACTGAGTGTAATTTAACATATTTATAATATTGTATTATGTTTTACTGTTTTTATTTTATTTTCTTATTACATTATGTTATTATATTTTTAATGTACTGAGTGTAATTTAGCATATTATAATATTGTATAATGTTTTACTATTCTTATTTTATTTTCTTATTACATTATGTTATTATATTTTTAATGTACTGAGTGTAATTTAACATAATATATTGTATTATGTTTTACTGTTCTTATTTTATTTTCTTATTACATTATGTTATTATATTTTTAATGTACTGAGTGTAATTTAGCATATTTATAATATTGTATTATATTTTACTGTTCATCAAGGGAGGTATTACTTCCTGATAGGGAACCGTTTCGTTCTGAGAAAGAACCGTACAATAGCTTTTTGTATACTGGACTCACTCTTTTTTAAGTATTCCATAATTTTTTCCGGTTGGGATTCGTTAATTTCTGTTAAAAACATAGCCCTTTCTATAATATAGTTAGGGCAATGTACTAAAAAATGTTTTACAGTCTCTATTTCACTGGGGCATCTATTACAGAAACCAGTAGCATGAATTCCCAATCTGAGGAGATCCTGGTTAAGTCCAAGGACTCCAAAGCGGAGTCGATGAATAATTGTTGAATGTTGTCTCTCTAATGAACATATATATGGTTTATTAACATCTTTTTGATATGTTTTCAAATACGAGTTGGTTTTGTTCCACCTTTCTTGCCAAAGGAGTTTGGAACTTGTAGTAATTAAGCTTTTCATTTCTGACATATTTAGATTATTATTGACTTCTATTTTCTTTACTAATGCGGCCTTTGCGTGGAAATCCGCCATCTCGTTCCCTTTTATTCCACAATGTCCAGGTATCCACTCTACATATATATCAACTCCTTTATTCTTTAAGTGAGTAGTCATGGTGAGAATTTCCAGAATAAAAGATTCATCCTTCTGTTGTTGTAATGCAATAAGTGCACTAAGTGAATCACTAAAAATAACAACCCCCACATAAATATCTAATTCATCTACCCATCTGAGAGCAAGAATGATGGCAGCCAATTCAGCCCTGTACGAAGAGGTGAAATTTGCTAACCTTTTGCTCCGATGTACAGAATAGGGACGTAAAAAGCAGCTGCAGAGGTCCCTCTTTCAGGTACTTTTGATCCATCGGTGTACATATGTAATTGAATGTTGTTGTTGTGTTTTGAGTTATTGGCGATTAGTCAGTGAATGTTGTTGTTGTGTTTTGAGTTATTGGCGATTAGTCAGTGATTTGACTATTGTCGCCAAAATACTTTACGGCACGTGTTATATCTCTCAATTTTGGATTTAAAAAAAAAAAAGAGGAACAGGAAAAGGAAGGAGAGTTATGGAATCTACATCTGAATTTACGGTATCCTCGAATAGTCGAATTATATTAGAAATTTAAGGTCCTCTTGAGTCTTGGTTTCGTCGCGTCGAGGAGTGAAATTGATTTCTGATTTACATAGCTAGGTACCGGTATATATGTTGGGAATTACAACAGACCAGATCCTGTGAGTAGCTTGTTATAGTTATGGTTATTTTATTGGAAGGCTAGACTGGAAAAACACTGGATTAGCCTTTAATAGTTCTGACCTAATCACACATTCGTTCAGTCCCACATCCGTATTTTAAGTTAGTTGTTGAACCATAGACGTAATACAGCTCGAACTCTCCGCTCCCGCTATATACTGCGCTCGCGCTCTGGGCCTGTGCGCCTGTGTTGGGGCGAGGGGGAGGTCGAGGGGGTGGGAGGGGGGGGGGGGTGGTGGTGGTAGTTACGCACTTTATTTGGAAAGGCTGAAAACTGATGTCCTCTAAATTCAGTGTAATTTCTTTGGTAACACTACAGTTCTTCTAGTTTTACTAGTTTGGCCTTGGGTTAAGTCTACGTCTACTAGTATTTCTCAGTCTGTCTATGGTGGCCCTGAAGGGACATCGCGAATAGACTAAATCGTGAAAAATATGCGATAAAATTCACGATATCGTCAATTTTATCGCATATTTTTCACGAAGAAATTCACGAAATTGACGATATCGTGAACTTTATCGTGAACTTTTCACGATGAAATTGACGATATCGTGAATTTTATCGTGAAAAGTTCACGATATAAAGTTCACGATATCGTCAATTTTATCGTGTACTCTATCGTGTACTCTCCTGACGGGCGCTTCGTAAACAAAACCAGCCCTAGCTGGGGGAGACAGAGAGAAGGAAAAAAGGGAAAGGGAAAGAGAAGATAAAAGGAAAGAAAGAATAATAAGAAGAAAAGAGGGAAACGGGGGGGGGGGGGGGGGGGGGGGGGGGGGGGCGAAGGGCTCTTGCCTCCTCCTCACTCCCCCCCCCCCTCCCCGCCAAAATATAAATCAGAGAGAGAGAGAGAAGGGAAAGGGAAAGAGAAGATAAAAGGAAAGAAAGAAGAGGAAGAAGAAGAAAAGAGGAAAACGGGGGAAGGGCGAAGGACTCTTGCCCCCCCTCCCCCCCTCCCCCCCCCCCCCCGCCAAAAATAAATCAGAGAGAGAGAGAGAGAGAAGGGAAAGGGAAAGGGAAAGAGAAGATAAAAGGAAAGAAAGAAGAGGAAGAAGAAGAAAAGAGGGAAACGGGGGCAAAGGGCTTTTGCCTCGTCCCCCCGCCCCCCGCCAAAAAATAAATAAGAGAGAGAGAGAGAAGGAAAGGGAAAGAGAAGAAAGAAAGAGAAAAACGAAAAAGAGGGAGAATAGGAAAGAAAGGAAAAGAAAGAAAAGAAAGGAGGCAAGAGCCCTTCGCCCCTGTTTCCCTCTTTTCTTATTCTTTTTCCTCTTCTTTCTTTCCTTTTATATTTTCTTTCCCTCTCCCTTCTCTTTCCCTTTATGGCGGGGGGGGGGGGGGAGGGGGATGTAAGAGCCTTTCGCCCTTCCCCCGTTTCCCTCTTTCCGTCTTCTTCTTCTTTCTTTCCTTTTATATTTTCTTTCCCTTTCCCTTTCCCTTCTCTCTATCTCTCTCTCTCTCTCTCTCCTATTTATTTGTTGGCGCGGGAGGGGGGGGGGGGGAGGAGGCAAGAGCCCCTCTTTTCTTATTCTTCTTCCTTTTCTTTTTTATCCTCTTTCCCTTTCCCTTCTCTCTCTCTCTCTCTTATTTATTTTTTGGGCGGGGGGATGCAAGAGCCCTTCGCCCCCGTTTCCCTCTTTTCTTCTTCTTCTTCCTCTTCTTTCTTTCCTTTTATCTTCTCTTTCCCTTTCCCTTTCCCTTCTCTCTCTATCTCTTATTTATTTTTTTGGCGGGGGTGGGGAGGGAGGAGGCAAGAGCCCTTCGCCCTTCCCCCGTTTCCCTCTGTCCTTCTTATTCCTCTTCTTTCTTTCCTTTTATATTTTTTTTCCCCTTTCCCTTCTCTCTCTTATTTATTTTTGGCGGGGGGGGGGGGGGGGGGGGAGGAGGCAAGAGCCCTTCGCCCTTCCCCTGTTTCCCTCTTATTCCTCTTCTTTCTTTCCCTTTCCCTTCTCTCTCTCTCTCTCTCTTATTTATTTTTTTGGCGGGGGGGGGGGGGGGGGGGGAGGTAAGAGCCTTTCGCCCTTCCCCCGTTTCCCTCTTTCCTTCTTCCTCTTCTTTCTTTCCTTTTATATTTTCTTTCCCTTTCCCTTTCCCTTCTCTCTCTCCTTATTTATTTTTTGGCGGGGGGGGGGGGGGGGGGGGGGGAGTGAGGAGGAGGCAAGAGCCCCCCCCCCCCCCCCCCCCCCCCCCCCCCCCCCCGTTTCCCTCTTTTCTTCTTATTATTCTTTCTTTCCTTTTATCTTCTCTTTCCCTTTCCCTTTTTTCCTTCTCTCTGTCTCCCCCAGCTAGGGCTGGTTTTGTTTACGAAGCGCCCGTCAGGAGAGTACACGATAGAGTACACGATAGAGTACACGATAAAATTGACGATATCGTGAACTTTATATCGTGAACTTTTCACGATAAAATTCACGATATCGTCAATTTCATCGTGAAAAGTTCACGATAAAGTTCACGATATCGTCATTTTCGTGAATTTCTTCGTGAAAAATATGCGATAAAATTGACGATATCGTGAATTTTATCGCATATTTTTCACGATTTAGTCTATTCGCGATGTCCCTTCAGGGCCACCATACTGTCTACCTCATTTACAGTTGAAGATTCTTGCAGACTGATGAGTGTGTGCATGGTGCAATAATCCTGGCTGTGTATTAAAAACTGTTCCATTGATTCTCAACATTTCAAACACCACTGTTACTGTTCAAAACTCAACTGAGTTCACTCAAAATCAGTACTTTTTTAGGGATAATTGATGAAACCTCGTCCTCAATAAATAGCAGTAAATACAATCTTTTCAACTTACCGATGTTAGAAAGAATATTTTGAAAATTCAAATCGAGAGTCTACTGTTAAACTTGTCGATCAGCCACTTTTTATTCATTGTATGCATTACTAGTGTACAATTGTGTGCAGTGTGTGTATTATGTGTAATTGCAGGCTCTCAGCACGAGTAGTACAGCGCTAGAGGTCAATAAGCATTAGCATTGACTCTATGCTTTGCTGGAGTGCTCACTAGTACTATAACTATAATTATAAGTACAGTAACAGTACTACTCTACAGTAATGTCTTTTGTTGATCTTGGTTCAGCATATTGCGGAGTTGGCGCAAGTCTGCAGGAATGGGGCTTTATGGGTGATTCCTATATATGGCATGCACTTTCAGCTTAAAGAGAAGGTTGAGTTCTGGGAAGAGGTGAAAAATAATTTGTGAGCGTTATCATTCTTATTATGCAAGTGTGGAAGAACATCAGATAAGACATGTTCCCTGAAAAGCATGGCTCTTCAAATGCCTTCATATTCTAAATATGTCATGTATATCGTAAAACTCGGGTGGGGGGGGGGAAGGTTTTTTAAGCCATGTGTTCGTGTAGTCCCATATACATCTTTCTGTGTACAGTGTTTGTAACTTTACCAAGATTTGGCCAAATCTCTTATCATTTTGATGATTCCAGAACCTTGCAATACACATAAATTCTTATATGCTAGATGATCAACCTTTTCTGGTCGATTCCACACCGTTTCTTTCACAATGCAATCGCATGACCAGAACTCAACTTCATCTTTAATTGCACTGGGCGTGCACTTTTGCTAAAATTTAAAATAGTGAAATGTGATTCCATTGGCATTGATGCTGTTAATGTAAAGGAAAAACCTATTATTCTTGGTTTGTAGAAAATTTGTGTCAGACATACTAGCAGAAACTCATTAAATTAGACTAGAACAACTAGTCTACCTGCACTCCTACAAACAGTACAATGCATACCATGAAGGTCTATGACTATGACCAAGTCACTAACAAGGGTCCATCATAAGGCTAAGCTACATACCCTTTAAACAATGTGACATGGGCATTTCACGAAACTGTTGGCTGAGCAACGAGAATATCAGTGAGATTTGCCCAAGACTTCTAGTAATATTTGCATTCATTAATTTCATGCAATTTCTGCCATTTGTATCTTTATTGATCCTTTAAAGTTTTACACTGGCATCGATAACGGCTTGAAATTTTTAGTTATTTATCAATCATGATTTTTTACCACAACTCAACTTCAGAAAATATTGGACCAAGATAAACAGATTAAATTATCCTAAAATCCTTAATTAGATTTAGATGAATTTCATACTTTGAAAACTAAGTGCGTAGTTTATGGTCCTGCATCATACTAGATCGCCTTTGGTGACTCTCAGTAAATGATAAATGCTTATTTACATCGCCTCTAATTAGGGGCGAGGGTATTAAATGGAGTTTTATTGTCCTCCTTCTTTGTCCCTCCTCTGTAATACTTCATGATTATTTTATGTAAGCTTTGTGTTATTGTTGATTTCTTTCAGAGTTGTGTAGTTATGGCCTCACTGTTCACATCAAGATATGCTCTAAGGATGATCATCAGGAATACTACAAGAAACTATAATGTACCCACCTGTGTCAAGACAGTGCAATATCTTCCATTGCAAAGATTGTTCTTAGTACAACAAACCTCATCTCTTCACACCTCTGTCATCCATCATGCAAAGAAAGGTTATTTAATTTAATCAACTCACTCCCAGATCCTAATCTAATGATTGGTCATGCGCGGTCACGTGTGATTCATTTACTGAGCCTATGGCAGTCGTTTTCATGAAAAGGAGTGCAATATTTCCAGTACTATTGAACTTGTTTTCAGAGCGGGCAGTATAGCGCGTAGAGGTTAGAGCGCTTAATACTGCGTGTGCATAGGCCTATTCTTGCGCAGCACTATGCGTACATGGGTGTAGAGTGCGCTTGCTATAAGTTTGCGCACTAAATTGAGACTTATTAAAACTTGAGATTTATTTGTCAGCCATGTACTATCACGAAACAATCTTGAGTTAATTCTTTTTACATCAAATAACAAGGATCTAGGAGTTTCGTTGTATAAAACAAATGATGCTGTGTGTAACTATGGCACTCAGCCTAGCGGCTTCGTGCGATAGATACACGCAGCCTCATCTCGAGTGCGGATAGATCGTATAATGAACTCATGCGCATGCATCATTTGTATACTATCTGCCATTAGAAATGCAATACATGTCCCTGTCCATGCCACTTCCATTATTGGTACTGGTTCATTTTTTGTTTTTTGTTGTTGATGGGAACTTGATTCAGCATCAAATAACTAGTGGGATGGGGGCTGTTTGCCATCTGACAAATTTCTTACCAGTTAAGAAAATACCTGAATTTCCAGCTAATTTTGTGATCAATTAGCTGTTAAAACTTAATAATTTTTTTCAACATTTTCTGCTTGGCCTAGCAAAACTCTGATGGCATATTTTAAGATGTAGATGCATTTTTCTTTATCAAAATTCTGTAAGAAGGGTTGAAGTACAAATGTACCCCATTCAAGCTAATGAATTAAATCTTAATTCTCTGAATGGTCCTGTTGTTATTATTTAAGTAAACTCTCTGCCCTTGCTGAATTCATTGTGTGATAAACATGCTTATTCTAATGTCAACTTGATTTAAGCCATTAGAACAGTAGAAGCGTACTTCCTTGAATGGTGATCTAACAATGACAACATTTTCAAGCCTTTGATACTCTCCTTCTCTCTTGTGACATTGTATTATTTGCCTCACGCTCTTCTCTTTCTCTCTCTCTCTCTCTCTCTCTCCAGGTAAAAAGCACAAACCTAAAGTTGTGGTTGAAATGTCTGTAGATGATGATATATTGGATTTAAATGATGTGAAGGAAAATATGCAGAATGCTATTGATGCATTGAAGAAAGACTACACTAGTACCCTGACCATCAGGACTTCACAAGGTAGATATACACAGTTTCTTTATTAAAAACAAAACCTCTCAGCAGAAATATGTTTATGTGACTTATGTGACTTTTGTGAACATCTTAAGTGAGTGAAATTGCCTCCGAGCATCTACAGTGAATGGTTTGGGAGAACCACCTTTAGAAATTTGTAACATGTTAAAAGTCAATGCATTTACCTCTCTTACTATCCTTGTTAGGGATATTGACCATTTGTTTGTTTTTCTGAAGTGTGTTATCCACTTTTGAGAACACTACCTACATGTATATTGTTCTGATGATAATAAGAAATAATATTCAATTGACATACATTAGTAGCTCATGTGTAGTATTGAAAGAAAGAGTTTTGTTAAACTGATGTCACATGGAAGGCATTATATTGTAATTACAATGTCCCATTTTACATTTCCAGTTCTTTTCAAGTTGGATAAATCCTAATGTTTTTTTTTACTTGTAGGTGCCTTGGATCACATTCTAGTAATTACACCTGATGGTAAATTCCCTCTCAATCAACTAGGACAGATGACATCCAAATCATCTAGTAGCATCACTGTCAACCTTACTAATTTTCCACAGGTAATTCTTTACTTTGTTTATGTTAAAACAGCTAAAAGATTAAAAAATGGGTTCTCTTCTGCTCTACATGACAGTATGATTTGTTGATCCTTAGTACTTCATTATCAAGTTCTCAAAAAAAAAAAAATGTGTGACACAAGTCCTTGGACCTTGATGATCATGATACAGGAAAGACTGACTTTACAATGCATTAACCCATTTCATTATCAAGTAGATTGACAATTTTTATCAAAAAATTATTGACAGAATATTCAGATCTTGGTGGTTTAAATCACTATTGTGTAGAAATATCTTTGCTTGAAAAGTGAAGTCTATATCAACTGTGTATAGAACAATAATGATAGCAGAGATGATGGTAATTATAAAGAATAGTCAGAATATTGAATCAAGTGTAAAGCTATGGAGAGATTTCCATCACACATAGAGGAAATTAAACATCATATTGACAACAAAGTTGTATCAGTCAATTTGAATAATTATTTCATAAAGGTATAAAAAGATAACTTGCATGTATGTTGTTCTAGTTGAAGCAAACAATGCTGTGAGATACATTTAATTTCTGTCTTTTTTTTCTACATTTTAGGCTACCGAAGCTGCAGCTAAGGCAATACGGGATGCAGGAATGAATCTCAATCCAAAGATAGAGGGCAGTGTCATTCAAGTACCCATCCCAAAGTAAGTATTAGTGATACTTCTGTTTGAAGGAAAAAAGGTAAGAGAAACCTGACTATTGGTTCATAATTAATAGGGATAAAACACAATTATGTAACGACAGGAAGAAATGAAAAGAGTTGTCGTCCCCCACTCTCCATTGGTGGAAGGAGAAAAAAAAGGGGAGAAAAGGGTCATGAACAAAAGAAAGAAGATATATACCCCTTTCATATACCAGTTATGGCTTGTCTTTTATTTCTGAGACTTGTGCCTCCCATCCCCAGTGAGTTCAGTGCCCTTTCTACCACACTATGCCAGTGATGAAATAGATTTCTAACTTATTCAGACAACCCCTCCCCAAAGAAAGAGAAGTAGAAAATGTAATATTTGTTTTGATTTTCAGAGTCACAAAAGAACACAGGGAGAATCTTGTTAAATCAGCTAAAGGAATGTGTGACAAGGCAAAGGTTAACATTCGTGGTGCGAGATCCAAGTACATCACCTTAGTACGCAAACACAAAGAAGGAACTTCTAAGGATACTATATTCAGATTGGAGCAACAGATACATCAAGTTACAGACACTTTTAATGATTCAGCAGATAAATTGTTTTCATTAAAAACAAAAGAACTGCTTGGAAAGTGAATGAGATGTTATATTCCATCGTAACACAAAGAAGGCTTTGTCAGAGCAACTTTAGTTTTATCATGAGAAAACCAATGGGACACTGTCAGTTGCTGTTGTGGAGCTGTTGTATGAGGAGGGACACCTATCCTTGCATTGCGTATTCAAAAATGTAAAATAGGAGTGTAAGGAACTTATAGGACATGATATCAGTATGGTACTACATGTACAAGTATTCGATGGAATCAGTCCAAAATGTTATGATTGCAATATTGCATTTTTGATGATAAATGGTATTGAAGTCTTTTAAGGCCACTTTCGCATCTGCGGTTTCTTTTATTCTAAAACAAAATAGTAAGCAATGAAACAACTTTAATGATCAAGTAAAAAATTGTAATATTTTGCCTACTTTGAATTTTATACGGTTAGCCAAAAGAAGGGAAAAAAAAGATCTTCTGTTAGTCTATTAATGAACTACATTATCTTAAAAGGACTGTATGGCATCTGTTTTTGTGTTCTTTATATTAGCCTATTAATAGAAAGTACCGCTGAAAAACAGCCGATTATTATTTGATTTCTTTAAAAGGGCAGGACTTTGTATGTACAGAGGATGACTGATGCTGATGTAAAATGGGGAAGCACAGAAAATGCGGGGTCATTAAGATTTTTTTTTTAGCAGAACAGAAGTCATCTTAATGTTAAATGTATATATCATGTCAAAATTATAGGGGCTGACAATGTAGAGGGACAATGGCGATTCGGTACAATTTTTGGTATTAAAAAGTGTCGGAACTTCATCTATTTACTGATTGTTTGAACTTTGTTGAGCTAATATATATATATATATATATATATATATATATATACCTTGTATACCTATATATACATATAGAGAGAGAGAGAGAGTGTGTGAGAGTCACAGCACTGTGGAACGAATTTAAAAGGTAACAGAGTTTATGAGAGTCACATAACTGTGGAAAGGATTTGAAAGGTTACAAAGATGATGAGTGTAAATTATAAAGGTACTGTGGACAGGAATTAAAGGGTAACATAGACTATGATAGTCGCATCACTGGAAAGAATTGTAACAGAGATTACAAGAGTAAAGGTACGGTGGACAGGGTTTAATTACATGAATTGTCTTGATGGACTGTTTCCCCTCCAAATTATATGATAGCAAAATGGAAATGGTAGGCCTATAGCTACTGTTTATTCATTTCAAGATACATCTTGTACTGAGTAGTATACCGGGGTATGTCCACTTAAATTATGTAAAATAAATTAAAAGTTGTTAAGGTGTATTGTAATGGTCGACTCAAAGCTTTTACATTTTTTAAAATACAGAATCTGCCCGCAGAGATCAGTAATCTCGTCGGGACCCAAAAAATATTGACAGAAAAAATTAAAACAGAAAAGAAAAAGATTATTATTTTTTCAACGTAGGTGGCGCCGTCTCTGCTCGAGAAATTTGTTGCCTTGACTGCGATTCTGTTGTCAACAACGCAGATTGCTGCAAAAACTTCGACAAATGTGCTAACTTTAACGTGAGTTTGTATGTTACGAATTAGTAGATTACAGATACAGTAATTATGTTTCAGGAGTCTGATATTTTTGTCGTAAATGTAGATTAAAACGTATTGCGGAAAAATCTAAGTTTGTTTACATGCTAGGACGGTGCAGGGGTGCAGTCCCATACATCAGATATTACGTCGGCATTGTATGAATGGGGTTGTGTATGCGGCCTGCGGACAACGATCACGACAGCTAACAAAGTTAGACTCTAAGACTGTAGACAGCTGACATATTAAAATTGACTGGTGACTTTCGCCTTTGGATATAGCGATAACTATGCATTACATAGCTCTTTCCAACACAATACTTTAAAGATTTATGAAATATTAATTCTTATTGGAATAGTCTATTGGCAAAAGTTTGAAAAAACAGCTTTTATTTAAAAATGAAAGACCAGTTAGATCAGGACTTTGTCTGTGTGTCGCAAGCTGAAGTGTCCTCATTGTGTGAGACACACTCACGACAGCTCCTTAATTATGTACAATGACATACGTTGCTAATTTCAGTTTCTGAAACTGCAGAGCAGAGGTGTATTTCAGCTGGATGGCATGCGGCAGGGATTGCCGGCTTCTTTGCTTACTTTCAATGTATATTTCTCATTTCTTATAGCGTGGTGAGCTATAACCCCTTTCCCCTTTTTATCTTCATAGGAATTCATCATGTACAGTGACGTCATCAACCTCCCTAGGGAACATGTGAAACACTCCCTACTGTTTGATTAGTGCTTCCAACAATATTTAATATTGACATTTATTTTTATTTCTACAAAGTGGATAAAATGTCACAAGTAAAAGAAGAAGACCAATTAAATGCTTTGGGAACTTCAGAGTCCAACAGCGTTCAAGTTGTGATAGAGCCTGCCACTCCTAATGAGAAGAAAAGAGGTAGAGCAAAAGAAATCTTGAATATGGAAGAGACTCAACAGAACGGGAAAGATGGAAAAGAAATGTTTGAAATGGCCTCAGAACATGAATTAGACAATTGTACACAAGTACCAGCAGATGAATCTAGAAGTGACAATTCTAATAATGACATTGCACAGAAAAGTCATTTGGAACTTAATCAGCCTGTGGAAATAGACAATGCAAATGGCCCACAAGTGGCAAATGTATGTGACTCGACAAACTCATTAGTTCAAAATTCTTCAGGAAATTTAGAAAAGGACAGTCAAGATGAGATAGAAAGACAACCATCATCTGAAGTCAAGATGGATGAAACAGAGGGACCTGAAATTGCAGTTAGTACGGAACACAGAGATTCTGCTTCTGAAGTTGAAGAATTAGAGCAGTCAAAATCAGAAAGTTCAAACTCATCAGCACCTCTCAGTGGTACTGAGCATGAATTGCAGGATGAAAATAAAGAAGTAATAGAAGAAAATGTCAATAATAAAATGGATGGATCTTTTAGTAATACAAAGAAAGATGAAAGTAATGAAGTAAAAGAAGAAGATGTCAATAATAAACTGGATGGATCTTTTAGTAATACAAAGAAAGATGAAAGTAATGAAGTAAAAGAAGCAGATGTCAATAATAAACTGGATGGATCTTTAAGTAATACGAAAAAAGATGAAAGTGATGAAGTAAAAGAAGAAGATGTTGACAATGAAATGGATGGATCTTCTAGTAATACAAAGACAGACAATGAGACGAGATTCCAGGTAACAACAGACATTCTTACTGAAGATATGGAACCAGGACCACAAGGTAATGAATCCTCTTTGGAGGGATCAGTGGGAGATAAGGAGAGAACAATTAAAACTCCAGAGAGTATTGCAGTGTCTGTGGATCTTTCTGTCAATAATCTTGCCCCAGGCCAATCTTTATCAAGAATGAGCAATAAATCAGAATTTGTGTACAATGAGCATGACTTTCCAACGCCTGATTATGACATTTATGGACCTACACCCACTCCTATGGCTAGTGATAGGAGGCAGTTTAGTCCTAGTAAGCGGGAAGGCCACACTGTCAGCAGAGGGGAAGGTGCAAAGAGTGTTACATTTGCAGATGAAATAAGCAAAGGCAGTGAAGTTGACCCTGATAACAAGGATTCAGGCAATCTATCAGATAAAGAGGAACCAGATAGAGAGGATCAAGACCAGGACTCCGCGGTTGCAGACCAAGAAAAACAGGAAGAAGAAGAAGCAGAACAAATTACAGAGCAGGAGGTATGATAAACTTGTTATTTGATTTTATATGTGAAAAAAATATTTTCACTTTTTTAACAACGTAGCAAAATGTAGAATAGTGTTTAGTTACACAACATTGCTAGACAATTGTTTAATTTCAATGATGAATAAATGATGTACATGATTTAAGTTTAAAAAAACGAAAAAATGCAGGACCTACATGTACATTGTTCAATAATGTACAATGTTTTCCACAAGTTGAGATTCACAGAGAGATGACATGAAGACATGGATCAGATTGAAATCTAGCTGAAAGTTGACAGACCAGGGCAGATACTCACATGGTCAAGTTTGCGATCTCGAAGGTGTAGGAGCAAAATGACATGGGCAGTAAATTAATATTTCCTCCTTTGTCATTCTAACATGTAAAATATGATAAGCATGGCATAAATGCCTAGATTTTCATTATTTTGTCATATTATGCTGTTGGTATGTAAATGTTCAAAGGAGGTGTGTACTCAATGTGTCATCTTTCTGTCCGTTTATCTCTTGGGTCTTGATAGATAGTTGTAGTCATTTGATCAGAGCTTCTTATTCTTTGATGTAAGTGCCAATGATTACCCAAAAGAGATCATGTTTCAGTTTACCATTTTTCTTTCCTTTTATTTCATGTACACAAAGAATGATGAGAGCAGAGATATATTCCCTACAGCTGTGAGTGAAGAGACGATTGCTGAAGCAAAGAGAAAACAACAAGATGGTCTTACTCAGAAAGAAAGTTTGGCAATTGAGTTCTTTGGTGCTTCAAAGTTTGAGCCTGAATCTATGGAAGATGTGGTTACCAAGAAGGCCTACCAACAGTAAATATATAACTCATTCTGCTCTTTCAATTTCTGCTCTGTTAGATTTACTGCTGATGTAAGAGAAAGCATATTATCAAGCCTGTAAAGACTTATCATCATTCAATAGAATGAATATGTGCATTTTTTTAGGAGGGGGGGGGGGGGGGGGGGGGGAGGGGGTGATGCTTCTTCTAATTCATATTTTCCTAAAGGAGTATATGTATTGGCATACAGAGAAAATAGCAGTTGGTAATTCTGTGTCTTAGACAAAACGGAGAGATTAAGCCATAACATTCACCGAGGTATTTGTTATGAAATATTTAAATTGATTAATTTGTTTGATAAAATCGCATTACCTGTAGATTATAAAAAGGTATACATGTTTGTTGCATTACCTAGCTACAAAAGCCAATGGCTTGAAGTAGGTGATTGGACCCACAACATGAATAACAAATTGATTTTGAGTCGAAAAACAAACCATCTTTCACAAGTTCATCCCCCAAAAGTCTATCTTAAGAATGAAAAGTACATCACTTTCTTGTGTGTGCAATACTTATAATTATTGATATGGCAAAATGAGGAATTTCATGTCAAAACCCAAGCTCAATACTAATTTTGTCACAAAGATATGTTTAATTGAAATTGATACAATTACTGTAAGATGTATGAACTATTGAAAGCTGAAATCAGGTGGTTAAACCCAGAGTCTTCTATCATATGTTGAATATCAATCACTGACTGTACACACAAGTGAATAGAGAATGTGAGAATAAAATGGATTGGGGAAACAGAAAATCACATTTCCTTTTCCTGAGGCAGCAGCTGAAGTAGATATTCATGGGAACAAGAAAGTAGGAATTCTTTTCGTTTGGTCTAAGAATTTAATTGTCCATATAATACCAGTGCAGGATTCAGTTCTGATTGTTTCTGTGTTGAGTAATAACATTAATACACAATTCATTAACTCTGTATGTTACCCCTTTTTTTAACCTCCAGTTTTGAAGTTGGATGTCGGTTAGTGGATGAAGGTGATTACAGACGGGCAGTGATCAGCTTGGATAAGGGTCTTAATCTCTTACCTAAAGAAGTCAAGTTCTATCTGATGAGAGGAGAAGCATATCTTCAACTGTGTGACTTTCAGTCAGCTATTCTCAATCTAAAGAAAGCATGTGTTCTTCAGCCTGATAATCATGACTACTATGCACGCCTGGCATTTGTTTATTACTTTCAGGTAAGATAAAAGAAACATACTATGTAATTCTATCATGAGCATATAAACAGTAGTCCTGTCTAAGTGCTAGCTTGAACTCCTCTCTTATAATAGTTTGCTTATCTGGTCTAAAGTGATCTGATGCAATGTTCTGGTGTGTTTTTTATTTGGTTGTATTTTGTATTTTGCCATTTTACCATATAAGTCGTATCCTATTACAGAGATCTTCCAAGTGATAACGAAATTTTAATGTACATTTAGTCACTTTACAGCTGTTTATGTAGAGGTCAACAAGAACAGAATCATTGGTTTTGAATTGACATGACTGCAGTATTATCCCACTGAAACTGGATTGATAATCATATATTTTAAAGATAAAGACCAGTTATGGTCATGCGATTGCATTGTGAAATGACAAGAAATTTGGCCCAGTCTTGGTAAAGTTGAAAGCACTGTCCTGTACACAGAAAGATGTATATGGGGGTATGCGACATGAAATCTATCAGGTCCAAATAGATATAATATTTTACCAAATATATCAATTAGTAGGCGGTTTCTCAGCAATTACATATCATTACGTATTTGTCAAAACATATTCTATCACATGATTAGTAATTGTGTAGAAGCAATTTGGAAAGGCTGATTATATAGTTCAATAGAAATGGTGTATATAGTGTGTGATTTTGGAATAATGAATTGAAGTCTTGTTGAAGGTCGCATAAACTGTATGCAATGCAGAAATGTCACATATGACATGATCTTTGGTCCAAACTTTTTCAGAGATTCTCGTCACATTTAAATATTGGGACATGCTATCAGTAATCATTATCATCATAAGTTTATTTACAGTTGAATAATCTTTCAAAGTGACAAAGAATGACAAGTGACAATAATGAAATGCTCACAAAGTATTTTTTATCTTTACTATCTAGAAATCAACCTTCTCTATTATTTTTTTTCAAATTTCAGGGCCAAAGTTTGTTTGACCAATGTTTGTTTCCTGAGGCTCTGGAATCCTTCTCTAGGGCAGCTGAAATGAGGCCTGAGATTATAGCCTATCATACTAGAAGGTAAGCTAGACATTATGTTAAACATGTAAAAAGTACATACTGTATCTTTAAATCCAAAACAAAATGATGTTGCATGTATACATTGATGTGAAGAAGTATTCATGACATGCTCATATATTCAAATAGTAAAGGAAAAACAGTTAAGAAGGGATATTTATAATGTACTGGTTACTTATCAATTTTGAGTTTATTTGAATAAAAATGTATGTTTAAAAACATGTTATAATGAGCAGTGAAAATGTTGTTATTGTGTCTGTTTCAATACAGCATTGCTTGTCTAGCTGCCTTACAGCGCCATGGAGAATGTCTAGCTTTGGTGAATAAACGGTTAGAAACTGAAAGGACCAATCCTGATCTATACATCATGAGAGCCAGACTTCATCAACTCTTTAGAAATGTGAGTTTCTTCCCGTGTGAATACTATTTTAAAACATGACATTAGTAATAAGTAATAGTAATAATCTGTTGATATAGTTTCTTACAGACAATTATGTCAGCATGACTTGAAAAATAGTAATAATCTGTTGATATACTTTCTTACAGACAATCCTATGTCACCATGACTTGAAGAATAGTAAAAGTTGGTAGATATACTTTCTTGCAGATGACCCTATGTAATTACCATGACTTGAAGATTTATAACAATCTATTTATATACTTTCTTGCAGACGACCCTATGTTACTATGACTTGAAGAATAGTAATAATCTGTTGATATACTTTCTTACAGACAATTCTATGTCACCATGACTTGAAGAATAGTAAAAGTTGGTAGATATACTTTCTTGCAGATGACCCTATGCAATTACCATGACTTGAAGATTTATAACAATCTGTTTATATACTTTCTTGCAGACGTCCCTATGTTACTTTGACTTGAAGAATAGTAATAATCCATTGATATACTTTCTTGCAGACTACCCTATGTGACCATGACTTTAAGAATAATAATAATCCATTGATATACTTTCTTGCAGACTACCCTATGTTACTATGACCTGAATAATAGTAATAATCTGTTGATGTACTTTCTTGCACACAACCCTATGTTACTATGACTTTAAGAATAGTAATAATCTGTTGATATACTTTCTTGCAGACTACCCTATGTTACTTTGACCTGAAGAATAGTAATAATCTATTGATGTACCTTCTTGCAGACTACCCTATGTTACTATGACTTTAAGAATAGTAATAATCTGTTGATGTACTTTCTTGCAGACTACCCTATGTTACCATGACTTTAATAATAGTAATAATCTGTTGATATACTTTCTTGCAGACTACCCTATGTTACCATGACTTTAAGAATAGTAATAATCCATTGGTGTACTTTCTTGCAGACTACCCTATGTTACCATGACTTTAAGAATAGTAATAATCTGTTGATATACTTTCTTGTAGACTACCCTATGTTACCATGACTTGAAGATTTATAACAATCTGTTGATATACTTTCTTGCAGACTACCCTATGTTACCATGACTTGAAGATTTATAACAATCTGTTTATATACTTTCTTGCAGACTACCCTATGTTACTATGACCTGAAGAATAATAATAATCTATTGATGTACTTTCTTGCAGACTACCCTATGTTACTATGACCTGAAGGACGCGCTAGCACTGAACCCTGATCAAATAGAAGCCAAGACTTTGATGAAGGAACTGGAGCAGAAAGCAGAGGAGAATAGAAACCATGCAACCAGACTTCAACTTCAGGGAAAATTTAAGGACAGCCTTACCAAGATTACCATCGCTATAGAGATGAACCCATCAGTGTCAGATTATCATCTTCAGAGGTATATATTATACAAAGCATTCAAGTTTGTGAGTGCATTTGTCAAATATGCACTGCAGGGGGGTTAAGTCACAATCAAATAATGAATGAGACTTGTTAGAGCCGGATCATTATCCGACTCGTTGCTTAACCAAGTGCAGTGCATATTACTACTGCATGAGCTACAAAACATGAATTACATTGTATTTGTTTTTATAAAAAGGGTCAGTAATATTAAAATATAGTTGATGAGTAAGCTACAAGCCCAATCATTAGGCAAAGACAGTCATGAAGGCTGCCATTTACTTTGTTGAATGATATGATCTTGATATACAATGTAAGTGCAATAAAACGGTATATATGTGCACATCTCACTGTACACATCAATTTCAATGGAGATTGTGCAAACATTGTGTGCGGGCAAGCACTGAATCCAATGACCGGGGTTATAGTATATTTGTAAAGCGCTTAAAGACATTTGTATTAAGCGCTATATAAAAATTAAATATTATTATTATTAATGTCTTCACCATATGAAACTATACAGACTACATGGCCTAAGTACATACCTGAGACTTGCATGCATTATACACACATCTTAGCAAGACATTCTCACTTGTTCATGGGGACTCTTAGTTTGCATATGGCAGGCCTGGTATGAAAGAATGGTGCATGGTCACATTCAATTCAATTCAATCAATTCATTTTATTTCCATTTCTCGTAAAAAAATACATTCAATAATACATTATACATATAAGCAAATATAAAAATATAAAAATGGTGTCATTTGACCAGGTAGATTCCCTACGTGTACATTCTAGAACCTATTTTATAATACTATAAACAAATGCATGAATACAGTGTATATTTATGAAGGAAAAGGGGGAGCAATATCAGATTAAAATGTAGGGATGTAATGCCAAGTATCACAGAGTAATAAACTTCCTGGAAATATCAAATTTCTCTTAATGAGGTTGGTAATCTGTTTTCTACAAATAATCAATTTATTGGAACCAAGAATGAGTAGTGTAGGTGAGATTATGAAATGCTTTTCAACAGCTGTGCTAGTGCTCTGAATTTCATGATGTGACCCTGATATTTGTTGAACATGATTTATTTGATAGGGGAGCCCTTCATCGTCGTCTTCATGACTACAATGCTGCTATTGATGACTTTCTCCTTGCTATGGACAAGACAGAACACAATGAGTATAGCACTGTGTATACCGATGCTCAACGACAGCTTCTTCTAACATATAATGACTTTGCTGTGGAGTGCTTTGTAGGAGGTCATTTTGAAGAAGCCATTTTACTTTTGAATAAAGCATTAAAAGGAGAGAAGAGAGAAAAGGGGCTCTACATTAATCGAGGAGGTACGTGTCATATAAGAAATGCTTGTAGTTTATTAAAAATTTATGAGAATCATCTTTGTTTGAAATATCTTATACAAACTTTTTAATACATTTTTGTTAATCATGATTAATGATATATAAGAAAATATATAAGAAAAGTTAATCTTAAATTTGATATGAATTATTAATAACAGTAATATAAATCTTTCAGATATGGCACTTTTACTTTTGTTGTTAGCTCTTTTTGGGGAGAGAGAGAGATAAATTATGTAGGGTGTCCCTGAAAAATGGATACCCAAGTTTATTGGTCAACTAATAAATTTAAATCATTTTTTGTAGATTTTTACATCATTTTTAAACTCGTCTTTTCTATTTTCACGATCAGTGAATCACACATGGCGGATTTCAGATAGTCTGAATGGACACTTGACAGAAACGCATTTGTCCATCAATATAAGTGGATAGCTGCTACATTAGGGTCATTGTGGTTCTGACAAGACAACAAATACTTTGATTCTGTTTGTTATGAAATACATACCCTTTAAAAGTTCATATTCTTATCTTCCATATGATACAATAATCATTTAAATATAAATAAATTAATTAAATTCAATTCAATTAAAAATTCAATCATGATGAAAGAATAATGCATGACTGAGCAAACACAACTATGTTTATTCAGGCTCTATCTATAATCAACTTCCTCATTAATTTCCTCATTAATTTCTTCTAACAAAATCCATATGCATGGTTCACCAACTACAAATTAATCTGCCTGCTTAGTCATTCACATCTCCCTTATCATACCATAATCATGATGAAAAGATAATGCATGACTGAGCAAACTCAATTTGTGATTGGTGAGACTCTATGGCATGTGATCAAATGCCTCATTAATTTCCTCAAACAAAATCCATGTCCTTCACCAACTGCTTAGTCATGCGTGATACTTCCATCATGATTATGGTGTCACATAGAGAAAGAGAATGTGACATTTTGTGTGTATAGTGCCAATGGTCCCATATAATTATCTGTCTTTTCAAAATCATTGTGAACCAAATGTGGCAGCAATTCCCTTTATTCTGAGCAAATATGTTTCTGTCAGTGTCAATTCAGGCCATCTGAAATCAATCACATATTATCTATTTAGCATGCTTTTATGCCATATGCAAGAAGAAAAAAAATTATCCTCCCATTGAGATGTGTACATTAAGCAAAAAGGATTTTGGCATAGTGAGTGATTAACCCATAAAGTTGGGTCCCCTTTTTAAGGGATACCTTGTAGATTGATATACAGATATACCACAGCTGAGTTATTAAAAGACTTTTGTTTTTATACTTTATTTGAACAGATTGCTTCTTTCGTCTACAAGAGCTTCACTTTGCATTAGCAGACTACCATCAAGCTTCTGAACTCGATGGATGTGATGCTGGTATAAGATCTAGAGTAGCTGCTATCCATAATCAGTTTGGTTTACAGGATTATGAAGAGCATAGTTATCAAGATGCAGAAGCTAGATTTACTGTTGCTATACAACATAATCCAAAGCATGGAACATACTACATCTCACGCTGTAAAGTCAGGCTTATGATGGAGGTAAAGGGTGTTTATTTTCTTTCTTTATTTTAGTCTCTCTTTCACATATTGAGATAACAAATATTTTTAAAAAATTCTCCCACATGAAGTACTTTATGGTGTACACATAGCCGGCAATTCACATCTGTAATCGTTCAAATGAACAAAGAATACTGTAGTGATCAGTGAAGATATTTTGACATTTTATTACTGTGATAACTTGAGAAAAGTTTGAAGAGGTCAACAGCCTTGGGATCATATTCATGTTGTGGAGTTGTATGGCAGCTCACAATTTTTAGAGGATAGGAATTATCTTTTATTTAGAGACTTTTTTGCAGACTTGTGCAATCTAGAATAATATATTTGTTAGTTTTATTACTTTTAAAACTTGTTACACTGATTTACAAGGCATCCAGATAAATACTATACTTCTTGGAGTAGTTCATTCTTTGATGATGGAAAACTTGAGCTCACTTATCAAATCTGAGTAGGTTTCATGAATAGGTATCTCTCAAAATTAACAATTATAATGAAGACTTCCAGGATAGGTAACTTTTGGAAAACTTCAAAAATATGGCTCGTTTAGACAGTTATGAAGTTTTTATGCCTCCGCCACCGAAGGTGGTGCCGGAGGCATCATGTTTTCGGGTTGTCCGTCCGTACGTCCGTCCCGTTTGACCGTTATCACAATATCTCAAGAACCATTTAAGATTTAAACTTAAGACTCGGGAATAGTATTTATCACCATAGGAAGACGATCTGATTAGATTTTGGAGTACGTAGGTCAAAGGTCACAGGTCACAGAGGTCAACTTATGAAATTCCTTGTATTGAGTTTGTTAGCGCGATATCTCAAGAACCATTTGAGATTTAAACTTCAAACTTAAGGATAGTATGTATCACCATAGGAAGACGATCTGATTAGATTTTGGAGCACGTATGTCAAAGGTCAAGGGTCACAGAGGTCAACTTATGAAATTCCATACATTGAGATTGTTATCATGATATCTCAAGAACCACTGGAGATTTAAACTTCAAACTTAGTGATAGTGTGTATCACTATAGGAAAACAATCTGATTACATTTTGGAGCACGTAGGTCAAAGGTCAAGGGTCATAGAGGTCAACTTATGAAATTCCATACATTGAGATTGTTATCATGATATCTCAAGAACCACTGGAGATGTAAAAACTTCAAACTTAAGGATAGTATGTATCACCATAGGAAGACGATCTGATTAGATTTTGGAGCACGTAGGTCAAAGGTCAAGGGTCACAGAGGTCAACTTATGAAATTCCATACATTGAGATTGTTATCATAATATCTCAAGAACCACTGGAGATTTAAACTTCAAACTTAAAGATAGTGTGTATCACCATAGGAAGACAATCTGATTAGATTTTGGAGCACGTAGGTCAAAGGTCAAGGGTCACAGAGGTCAACTTATGAAATTCCATACATTGAGATCGTTATCGCGATATCTCAAGAACCACTGGAGAATTTTCACTTCAAACTTAATGATAGTATGTATCACCATATCATAATATCTCAAGAACCACTGGAGATTTAAACTTCAAACTTAATGATAGTGTGTATCACCATAGGAAGACAATCTGATTAGATTTTGGAGCACGTAGGTCAAAGGTCAAGGGTCACAGAGGTCAACTTATGAAATTCCATACATTGAGATTGTTATCATGATATCTCAAGAACCACTGGAGATTTAAACGCCAAACTTGTTTAAATTGCTCTATGGCGGAGGCATCATTTTCGACTGCGCGCAGTCAAAATTCCATCTAGTTTTATGATAATGTAAAGTTTTATATGGTTCACACTTTGTATCTTATCTTATAACCAAGAGCTCAGTGAATATGCACTTTTGTTATGCGTAGTTGCCATACATTTACACCCCCCCCAAAAAAAAAAAACAACAAACAAACAAACAAACAAACAATCAAACATGAATTTTCTTTTTTAGTGGTTTACTGCGCCATATCTGAACAAGCCTTTAGGCTGTAGACAGAAGGAATTTATATTGGTGTCAAATTGTGTTTCAATATATGTTGCATGAACATGTAGCTGCCTGCCAGGTAATGCAGTTCATATTATCTTAAAGAATTTGCATTTATCAAATACACATCCTTAAAATGTGGACTGTAATTTTGTCTTATGTCTGTGCTAGCAATAGCCGAAGTACTTTGTATAAAGAAGGGCACATTAAGGTATGCTAGGGTTCCTAAATCCTTGGCATTGTCTGACAGGGGAATGTACTAGTCTAGACATCTTATCGTCATTAGTTATCACTGACTATGAATATTTTGTTTTATTAATAGAATCAGAACGGAGCAAGACAAGACTTTCTAATGGGGCTTCACCTCGACTCCTCAAACACAGAGATTCTAACTCTAATGCCTCGTATATACCCTGGCAAGTCTGTTGGTGATGTGATGAGAACCAAACATGCCAAGGAAGCCAAGATAGCCGCTGATAATGCCGTCATAACAGCATCACCTATCATACTACCGGCTATGGGCAGGTACAGTGGAAACTTGTTATAAAGAGGTCCTTAGGACCAAGGAAATCACCTTGCTAACCTGTGTAATAGATCTCCTTTCTCTCTACTTTTCATTTTCAACTCTGCCCTACTTTACCTCTTTCTTTCTTCTTCCTTCTCCTCCTATTTCTAGTTCCATCTCTCTCTCTTTCTCTCTCTCTCTCTCCTTTCTTTGTGACCTTTGATGACACAGAAGCTTTTCATGTGTTTAATATTTGTAATATATTTAGATTTTTATGTAATATTTGAGAATTTTATTTTGTTTCATTATGCATGATTTATGGTTGTATGTTTTAGTCATTAATAATTTGATTGTTTATTGTGTTGTATGTTGACTTTGTAAATTGAGCAATTTCAGCTTTCCAGCTGCATGTTCTTTTATTGCAATATTAAAACCGAATCAAATCAAATTAAAATACCTTGTTATATCAGAGCTCTTTATAATGAGGTTCACTGTACTACATACATCTGAGCAATCACTGTGCTACATACATCTGAGCAATCACTGTTCATGTTCTGGAAACATGACTTCTCATATGTTTGAAGGCCATTTTTTTCCTTCTAAAACTGAACTATTTATTCACCCTCTTGATTTGTGTTCTGTTTCATGGTGTATATTTTGAGCATGAGCATGTTGCATGTCTGCATAAGCTTTGAAATGCTAGATTTAATAGATTATGAATTAAACAAAAATGAGAAAGATGATACCAAGCAAATCAGTTTGTCAGGTTTTGTGTCACAGTTTTAGTTTAATCCCATGATGTTTAAAATAGTGCAATCTAAGAGCTTGTATGAAATCTTGTACCTTAATATACTGAATTTTACAAAAATACATCTGAGTCACGTAACATTTTTCAATAAGCTATGTGTATGATTTTTATTGACAGTTCTGCACAGGATAGTCGAGAAGGCGGCCTCTTTCACACTGATGGCAGTAAACGGGTTAACTTTGATCCAGGATTGATATCAGACACAGCCGTCCCTCCTCTGAAGTACTGTATGAATGAACAAGACTTCAACAGGGCCTTGACAAAACAAAAGAAAAAGGTTAGATTTATACTCTTTTAGATATCCTAAATGAAATTTTACGTAAGCTCTGTCATTGACAGTTTAAATCAAAATTATTTTATTCTACGTAAAATTCTTATATAGTGTTTATTGACTTATTATTCTTTGTTTGTTTTTTTATGTTCAGATTTCAAACCATGTGAAGACTCTTCTTAATGAGCGAGGATCAATGCGTGCAGAGAAGCCCAAACTGAATCCTGTACCTCCTCCTAGACCCTATGAAGTAAAAGGAGGTCATTGGAAGAACCCAGAACCTGCTATCAAACCTGGCTGGAGAACTTTTAGCCTTGGTATTGGACTTATGGAATAGACATGGACTATTGCACACAAGCAAAGAAATCAAATTTTGTCAATGTTATTGCAATCTACTGACATGTATGAACCAAGCTGAGGCTATGTATGAAGAAAAAAAAGAAACGACTCTGCTTTGTTTCTCTCCAATGATTAAATGGGATACCACCAATAGCAGAAATCATCAGAACCTGTCATAGGTCATGATGTGTGAGCTAAATTATAGGCAAAAAATAGCATCATATTTGATAAGTTAACCCAAGTAATATAGTTCATGTCGAATGGAAGTTTGTCTCAGAATTCCAATCAGATACCTATGAATGTTTTTACAGAAATACGGTACCAGATATTTGCTGTGAATCATCATTGAGCCACCATACTAAACACAGATCACACACACATTGTTGTTTAGACCTTGCTCCCTAGAGGAGTTGAGAGTGTACACTGTAGGTTGCAAAATTGGAAATTAATTTAGTAATAATACTGTAAGCGCTTTGGTTGGGAAATGTTGTAACTGATAAAGAAGTTGTTTGTTGTAATTTTATTATTTTAAGTAATTTTGTGAGAATGCTCTCAATTTAACTAGCCGTCAATTCTAGTTCAGAATCTTTATTGGATGAATCTGAAGTTATGTTCAATCTAATAAGTCATTTTATTTATTCATTTTGAGCATCCTTAGCACTTCCATTTATCTAGTATAGTAATATTATTACTGTTATTATCATTATTGCTACTACTATTATTTTCTTAATTATTATTGTTTTTATTGTCATCATGATCATCATCATGATTATTATTTTGTCTTTAATAATTTCATGAGAATATTGGAATATATTCATTTGACCTAGAGATTGTGCCAAAGTGCTAGAGTAACCTTATTACTGAGGTAAAGCTGTACCTGAAATACAGAGGTATATTATCTATTGGAATGAATCATATCAAGAATGTAATCAATTATTATCAAATTGATTACATTAAAATGAATTTTAAGTAATGGTGAATTTCAATAATTTGATTAATCAAATTCGTTTTCACTGGCTGCCTGCCGTAATTAAGAAACCGAGTTGACAAAAGACTTAACTCTGTTTTGTTAACGATCAGCCATGCATCAAGTCTTTCATCTTCTTCGTGCATGGGTGATCATCAATGAAACGGAGTCAAGTCTTTTGTCAACTCGGTTTCTTAATTACGGCAGGCAGTCAGTGAAAACGAATTTGTTTAATAAAATTAAGGAAATGCAAGCATTACTTTAGACAAACAGAACTTTGTTATTCCTGGCTCATTTTTCCCTGATTGAGGTTTCTTATGACTTTTTGGTTTCCTCTCTTCAAATTTGTTTAAATCACTCATGCATGAAATATGCATCATATGAGTTGCATCAAATGAAAGAGAAGGATGTAAGCTTTACAAATATGTGTCACTTATGAATTATGATTGTGATTAAGTTATGATAAAATATTGATAATTCTCGGTTTCGTTTTTTCTGGGACGCACTGTATATACACATGTAAATATATATATTTATATTATGATGACATCTTGATGTTAAGAAAACATGGATATTAAAGTCTCATAACGAAAAGGAAATGTGTGAGTCCTACTTCTGTGTATTCTATTGTTTTAGAGCCCTGATATTACAAGGTTTTAATAAAATAAGAAGGCAATGGTTCTAGAAGTATAGGGGGAGGGGGCTTGTACAGCTCTGGCTGAGGTTGGGAACATCTTGCATTCATTTTTTAAATGTGCCTTTACTTAATAGATTCATTTTTCTTAATCAAGTTTTCTAATCAAGAATTCTTTTTTCTTTTTATGGGGGGTGGGGGGCATTAAATCCTTCAACTTTTGTTATAAGAGGGGAGTATTAATGTCATGATTCTTTATTTGGAATTCTTTGGTATGATATTGATTATGATCTGGATAAGTCATCCGGCTAAGACAAAAGAATGATGCTCTCTTTCATATTCATTTTCTTGCCATCTTGCAGTAGTATCAAGGCTTACACAACTTATGTTTGCCATAGCCCCTCATTTTCGTACATGTTCTTGCAATTTAATGATCTCCTTGGACCAGGGGCAGTACGCAGGGGGGGGGGGGGGGGGGGGGGGGGGGGGGGGGGGGTAAGCAGACACTTTTTTTTTTTTTTGGTCTCGAAATTTGAAAATTTGACATTTTTTTTTTCGTTGGGGGGGGGGGGGGGGGGGGTAAGGTCACTTTACGTTAGCCGTGGGCATAATTTTTTTTTTTTTTTGAATTAAAAAAAAAACAACAACAAACAAACAAAGGGGGGTTTGAACCCCCCCCCCCCCCCCTGCGTACGCCCCTGCCTTGGACCTACACATGTGTCTCAAACCTCTTGGGAGTATTCCTTCTAAATGGTCAGTGAGAGGGCATTTGGCCGACCCCCTGACAGTGGTCAATTGGTTAAACCATGTAATTTAAAATTGGTTTGACAGTTATTGCAGAGCTTGTGGATATCTGGAGGTTGTAAGACCTTGCATAAACAGGGGATTGATTAATTCATTTCACTGCGAATGTAACCCTCATTATACTCTCTTGTTGGTCCACATGATCATGTTTCACCTTTTCCCACATTTTGATAATGTTAACATATTCTTTCTATTGTTGTATTGTACCTTTCGTAAAAACTTTTTTATTCTTCCACTGTGGTGCCTTGATACAAAGCTGTATTTCGTATATGCTTTCGTTTTAGCTATATATTCAACATTACCTGTTTTGATAACTTGAAAAATGGTTATGCTATATTTATTTTTTATACAAACTAATTCAAGGAATTGAATTGAGGAATATGATCGTACGTTGTATTTTTGCCTATTTTTTCATTTTATGTGTTATTCTGTATAGTGTTACGTTATTTAAAAATGTTGTATAAAAATAAAAGTGTGATTGTGATGTCACTTCCACAGCACATGTATAATAACATCCACATCTCTTAGTACATGTATATAATTCATGCTTTCTTAGTTTCTTTATACAGAGATTTTTTTTGATAATTTGTATATTGTATAATTTGCACATGAATTTGAACACTCACAAGTTCAAGGTGATCTAGAAAACGTCTCTCAAGAAACGTCGATACTATTTTGTATTGACTAAAACGAGCATAGTTGGGAAGAGATTATCGGTTAATTCATACGTTTTGAAAAGGTTACTTCCTGACCATTGATGAAGAGTTATATAGGTGTTTAGTTAAAACACGACCTTTGATATTTACATCGTACTTGAATATATAGTGTAGACAGATTAAACCAAGTTGTTTGTCCAAGGACAAGTCAAAGTTTATCCCCAAGAAAGGTTTCAACAAAACCAAGCAAACAAATCAGGTCACTTAGCAATGTCGATGGCACTGTTTGTTGTTGTTGAAACCATTGGTTAATAAAATGTAATAAACATCGATGACGGCATGAGAAATACAGTGCGTATAACAAAAAAGTGTGCCCAACTTTGTTAGCTTATGATAACAGATGTATAATCAATGTGACATTGAAATTTATTTCATGGTGAAGAGTAACTTGTTTTCTATCTAATCATTAATTTTCTGCCAGAGATGACTGAACATCAACACCAGGGTTTTAAAAAGTGCCACCCAAATCTCCTTGTACACGTGTACCAAGTGTGGGCCATAATGCATGTGTTACTCTGGTCTTAAACCCTTTTAAAAGTGAAATTCCGCTTCAAACTGTATGCTTTCATGATTTTATGTGATCAAAATTAATGTGTCTAAACTTCACAGGACCTTCTTTCAATCCACAAGATAACCTAAACTTAATTTATACAGCTTACATGTACATGTATGATGATATCTAATAAGATCTCTCTGCCCACTGGTCCACTGCACCATTCCACATGCATTAGGTGCGTAAGGTGCATAAAGTATTTTTTAAAAACTCAAACAGCACATGAAAACACAGAGGTTTACTACGTGAAACAGTGCAAAAAGGAATAATAATAAGAAGAATAATAAAGATAGATTAATTGAGCGCATATAAACAGAAGTTTCTCTATATGCTTTTTACAAAGTAAAAAAATAAGCAAGTTCAAGTATATATATATATATATATATATGAATAGTTACAAGAACAAAATATAAAAGCCTTAAACTAAAGACATGTAGCTAAGAGAATTCATATCGAGCAAATTTAATACAGATAGCAATATATATATGACAAATCACATGATGACAGCTACCAAAGACGGTAGACTTCCATGAAAAATGGCATCAATTCTATGTTAAATGACTCAATGACAAGGCTTACCATAAACAGGGGACGCGAGAGAAGTTAACATTGTATAATCATAACAAAGAGAATTTCGTAATTTTTGTCCGTAAATTCGCTTTAAAAAGTTTCATTTGATATTGTCACTTTTTCTATTCAAATAGGCATAATCAATGCGAATACGTCAGCAATTGTTTCGGAATAAAATAACACTGCCAGAGTTGGTACAAGAGAATTTTGACAATACTTTTTGAAAAGGCTACTGCACAGTCATCCGTGGTAGCAGAGTTATAAATAAGGTATCATTAGACAGAATATTAGTTCTTCTTTGAAATGAAACATAATTGAAGGTTGCACATGTAATAACTTTAGATGGGAATATGCGAAAGTTTGGTACATGTGTTTTTATATATCATTTTGTTCGGGCATTAGTAACATTACCCACACTCGGTATAGTACCTTCAAACAGTTCAAAGGTACCTTTTGTGGGCAATATACAATTAATACACAGTATTGATGGCGTTAGTAAGAATTACCCACACAAGGTACCTTTGGAACCGAGTGTGGGTAATTTTACTAATGCCCGAACAAAATGCTTTGTAGTATATTTGTTATATATAAAATGATGTTTTACAACATGATTTTACTAATGACCGGTCATTAGAATTGGACAATCACCGGTCATTATCCAAATTACGCGTTAGGCAAAATAAATGCCTGGTCACGTGTACGCTTTCAACTAAGCATTTGATTAGGATCCACGTCATCATCTTATAATTCTTACTAATGCCCTACTGCTGTGTATTATTTGTGTACTAATAAAGTATAATGGTGGACTATCACTAAGTAAAAGAAAGCGAGGGATACATATTTTTGAATATATAAAAAACAGGATCGCGCAGACAATGCGGATCTCCCTTTAACAAAATTAAATTAATTATTCCTTATCAAGGCCCCGAACCGTAATGCAACGATGGGCCATTGTAAGCTGCA